TCGATGGCACAAGAAAGCCCACGTTGAAGAGGATAGCCATGTCTATCACTTGGTAGACGAAAGGTCGATTCCCTGTCTGCGCGTTTGTGGATTCCACGACAACTACACCGCGAAGTTCCGTGACAGCTGCTTCAACCTGCCCAAGAACGTGTTTGTCTTTCCAAGCTTTGTGATTCTCCAATGTGACGTTCCACGAGTCGACTGGTGTCGTGGTCTCGAGCAGACCAACCGCGCAACTTGTCACGGGAGGTCGTCGAAATGACGCCAGACTTACCAATTGGGATTTCATAGCACAGCTTACGCCGTGGTGGGTCGTTTTACCGGGTGTTTGAATCGAAAGAGCGTCGTTTCAATTTTCGTGAGTTGATGGCTTGGTGTCGTTGGGCCGACGCTAAGACGTGCTGTGAGTAGTTGATCACACAATCATCAGCAACAAAATCGATCCAAGAAACTTGCTACGTACAGGCAGCGTGCATGAGTCAGTTCAATGGAATGGTATCGGTGTTGGCGGTTTTCCTTGCACAGTGGGCGAGATCGCTCAAACTTTGGCCAAGAGTGTGCATCAGTACGCGACTGCCAGCTATCTTGTATCCAAGGCAACAAAGCAGTTATCAATCGACAGTTTTGTTGTGCAGAAGGCCATACCTACTGCTCGTTCGGCTCTCGAGGCGTGGTAGGAATGGTTTGAGGCGGACCCCGACAACGGCTTGACTTGCACGCTGAAGGACTACACTAAGGATATGATACAATTCGACAGGAAGAAGTACTCTGAACGGCATACGTTGGCGATGGCATTTAGCAAGTACCAATCGTTCGATCAATTCGATGCCTCGTACACGGGCTTCACAACTTCGTATGCGAGAATCCGCAAAGAAGTTCGGCGTAGAAAGCAAATTTGTACAACGTAATACATTTTTTCTTGCACTTTGTTTTGAAATATGGTGATAGAACACGGGACTTACTGTTAATTGGTGGCTAATTGAAGAATTACTAATTGATAATTGTATTTTTTAATATTAAAAGCACTTCGGCACCACCGGTTGAATTTCCAATTGCGAGAACACCAACTTCAAGTCAAATCTACCAAGGCAAAGGATAACCTTTGTACTCCATCAACAAGAACTCTGTTACCTGTTGCCGCGGCCGATTCCCTGATTTTGGACTGTGCCACGGTGGAGCCGAGGTGTGAGATGGTGTAGTTGATGGCCTTTGTAGCCCCCCGCCCGAAAGCAGGTTTAAGACGAAGATGAATGTTAATGGCAAATTGGAAAATTATGAATTGAAGTGGCTTCCTGCCTGTTTTAGGATCGGAGGAATCAGAGGGCAGGCGGGCGCTGAGTAAGGCGTAGAGGTACCATGGTGGATAAAGTGGTGGATCGAGTGGCTGTGTAGGCGCCAAGAGAGGCGGGAAAGGGAAGGGGTAAGGCGGTGGTGGAAGGGCAGCAAGGTCATCAATCGAAATATCGACGAATGGTAAGTGGGAGGCGGAGAGACAGAACGGAGTTCCGGGAAGTGTAGGCGACGGAGTGGTGAGGCGGTGATGCTGGGCAAGTATCGTGATAGGCGGATGGAATAGTGGACTGCGATTTGGTAGAGGAAGTTGGAGTTCGTCGAAGGCGGCAGACAGGGAGTAAACATGTAGGGTAGAGACGGATAAACAGGAAATGAGGGACGAGGCGTTGGGGTTGAAGGAGAGAGCTTGGTGGTAGGCGGTAATAGAAATGTACAGCCTTGCTTGTTTGAGACTTGGATATAATGTGTGTAGGCAACCGTCGAAAGTAAATAGTATAGATGTTCAAGTGATCGATTACTTCAGAGCGCACCGCGGCTTGGACGGTAGACTCAAGCGTAGAGATGGAGGACGGAGTAGGCGTAGCAAAGTTGATATGTCACTAAGGGGAGGATGACCTGCGAGAGTAGCCTGGAATTCCATGATGGCAGCTGCAACAACAGCAGGATGGTGAGGTGGAGGGTTGCTGGCTAGGCGTGTGTAAGGCTGCGCCGGGAAGGAATAGAGTCCCAAGGCGTTAACCTGAGCACGCAAATAAAGGCCACGACCGATGTCCATGAGGCAGTGCGACGGATGCGAAAAGTCAAAGTGGCAGCTGGCTTGGACGGAGTGACGGACCGAGAGGAGGTTGAATTTTAAGGCGGGACAGTGTAGGGCAAAGGGTAGACATATGGGCTCATGATGGGCAGTAAGATTGGCCGAGGTCTCGCCGGAGTGGGTGGTAACGCCAAGATCAATCGACCCGTAGCCGAGAAGAGGGATTTGGCCGCCGTCGCCGACTGGTCTCGTGAGGGAGAACTAACCTGCGGTCACGGCCGTTTCTTCGAAAGTAGTGCGCCACACAACATAGAGTCGTCGAGGAGAATGCCTGAGTAGGCGGTAATGGGCGAAGCAGGAGGGCTCATAATCTGTCACGAAGTAGGAAACAGGAGGTAGGCGAGGGTGATAGGCGTGTAACAACTTTGCGCAGAATTCCCTATTCGTACGAAATTCGCTCCATCTAGTCTACGGATAGGGAAAAAATGTTAATGTATCTCCGAAATCGACGATATAAAACCCCTTACATTTAGTTTGCTTCCAATTTTTATGGAAAAAGAAAAAGAGAAGTCATCTCCGAAATCTCCCTACTAGGAATGTACAAAGTCTATTGCTAGATCATTGCTGTTATACTGAGTCGCTTGTTGAATAGTGTGTAGACTAGTACGCTGTATCCGTATAAGGTAATCCATCAATATTGCGAACGCCATCAATATCGCGAACGGTTGTGATTTATATCCAATCCAATGGCTTCATTCTGTAGTGAGGAGTTTTCATTGGATATGATTATATTCAGCCAAACGATCAGGAAACCACCTTGAAGCTCAAAACTATGTTCATTTTATGTTGTCCATACACATTTCAACTTGTATCTTATTATAATGCGTTCAAATTTGATGTAGAATTGAGTTCATGTATAAATTAAAATGTATCATGACACCCAGGTATAATATTTTGAAAATAAATATTCTATACATACAAAACTAAGATATTAGGACCGTTCGCGAAATACAAACCCAAAAAAGTTTCACCAATTCTTTAACGTTACGTTATAATTTCAAAATACAAATCCATTAGTGGGATATTTCAGGCACTTCTTGGACGTTACGTTATAATTTCAAAATACAAATCCATTAGTGGGATATTTCAGGCACTTCTTGGACTAAAAAATGCAGCTCGATTTATATTTTCCCACGCTACCCTTAGTTTTTTTTATTTGAGGGACATTTTGTGGTGGAGTGCTTCGAACATTTGACATTTTAGTGCGCAAAAAGCGTTCGCGATATTGATGGTTTACCTTAGTATACCTTAGTATATATATCTATATAGACCTACCTATATATTATATACGTCCTATATACTTCGAAGTACTCCGTAGTACCTATATCGTTCTATATACTACTTATATACTATTAATAGTAATTCGAAGTACTACTTAATTACTTGTTTGTGGTTTTCGCAAGGTGGCTAGCCTTACTTCTGATTATAAACCAATCAGAGTGCATCATGATTTCTTTGCCATATAATTGGTCGAGACGATCATTTTTATCGACTTCAAAAATGCCGAAGTACTAAGTTCCCAGCGACTCAAACAACTAGTGCCACCATCAGCTTAATGCTCATATCAACAATTCATCGCACTCTCGAGTACACTCACTAGCATTTTTCCTTAGTGCTTATTGAAGTCGACATCGAATGACGAATGGTTGATGAGAATTTCTCCTCAAGAAGGAGAACTAGTAGCATCACTACTACTTCATAGTTTCGGTGGACTGGGGCCAACACCCAAGGTCCTTCCAAGTCAAAATAAGGAAGTGATGGGTAATACTACCGTCAGTAAGAATCATATTATCGGGGCATAGTCACCAAACGTTTGACCAAATCGAGTCGTTTGCCCGCGACGTTTCGGGGTTTCGGGATCAACGAGCAAAAATTGCTGTAAACGACCTATTTACAGTACCAGTAGTTGACGAGCTTGGCCCATGTGATTACTTGTTTATGCCAAGATGCAAAACTAGTAAGACAACCAAGGTCGGGAGAATGTGCGACGGCACCCGAGCCCAGCACTACCACCAGAGCGCCAACTACGCCACGAACAACCACTACCTATGCTGACGAAGTCGTACTGCATGACCATCGCCCAGGCTCAAGCGTGCGGGTAGGAGCAAGGGATCTAATTCGAGTACTGTAGCTCACAAACCAAAAGCTGCAGCCTACAGCTAGCAATATAGCAAAGATAATAGAACGATTCTAGGCCATATATTTTCACTTTTCTATCATATAATTGGACATAAATTTGGTAAGTCAGCCTGCCTTACGAATTCATCAATAAGATGCGTTTAAAGGAATTTAAATTATTCCATACAAATATGAAGCTGCATTCAATAAAATTTTAACTATTTCAGATCGCTTTATGGAATTCGTAAGGCAGCTCACCTTGCGAGCCTACTAAAACCTACTGTTTCACCTTAGAAATTATGTATTATGACTTGTTAATGGAATTCGCAAGGTGAGCCACCTTGCTCCTTTTTATAATCCAATCAAAGTTCATCACAACTTGTTTCTTACACACGATTGGCTATAAAACTGACAGAAGAGGTTAAAATTTAGAACTGTATGGACGCTTGAATTTTGTAGAGCTTTGTGCGATGCTACTCCGGAGAATTGTGCACTGATGAGTTCACTCCAACTATTTCGAATGTGGTTCTCCCGTGGCTTCTCTAGTGGGCCAACACGGTGGCGAAACACGTGCTTGTTTTCTTCCGCTTCTTCGTGGCTTTCGGCCACGGGACCTTCGTCAAGGTAGCAAATACACACACACACTGATATTAGTGAGGTTAAACACGCCACGAGGCGCCTACTGACTACCATTCACTAAAGTACTCAGTACCTCCACTAAGGTATCGGAACCTTTGACACGCCACACACACAGAGTGTGTGTGTTTGCAATGGGTCAAACTAACGCGCGACCCAATTGCTCTGCACGCTGCAGAACACTTCCCCTCCTACGGAAAGTCCAGTGTCTTGATGAGGGCGGCCACGGCAGGGTCTTCCTTGTTCGCCGCCGCCCACTTGCGAAATACGACGGAATGTCGTCCAGCAAATTCGCCGCAGGTTCCCAGGACGATTCTTCTTCGTCAAGTCCAAGCCACTTCACCAAACCTTGGTGTTGGCCATCCACGCAGCGCGCTTCGTCCAGGCGCTCCACATGAAATCCGCCATCACCAAACGCGATCTGCGCCTCGAGGTCTTCAGTCACCTCTATACCACCTTCGTGGTACATCTTCAGTCGGCACGCATGATGGACCGTGACTTCATACGGTGGCACCAGCTGATGAGTCTCCATCACATGGTCTGTGATGACTCTGGTCACTTGGCAGGGTCCTCGCCAATGCAGGGCCAATTTTGTCGGACGGTTGACGACCGATCCGATAAGCACAAAATCGCCGACCGAAAAATCCGCAAACTTGACTTGGGACTTTCGGTCGCGACGTCCACGCGCTTGCTGACGCAACTTGTCGCTACGCACCGCCACGTTGCGGTGCATTTCTTCTAGCGCCACTTGGAGGTCCGTCATATGTTTCAGAAGGGCGGCGCCAAGCCAGTCCGCGACGTATACTTCCTTGGACGTCGGGTGGACAAATCCTGCCAGCGGGGTCTTGGCTGGCAGGCCGGTAAACGCTTTCACAGGCACAATTCCTCCCAGCCGGTCCGCCGGCTGATGGTTGAGGGCGCCTTGAACGAGGGGCAACGCATGTGGCCATTCGTCCGCGTTCAGCTTCATTTCGCTGAGCAGCGCCTTCACGGCGCGCAGCACTAGTCGGTTGACTACTTCCACAGTCCCGTTCGCCCAAGGACTGTACGCTGTCGTGATGTGATGGTTGGCGCCCACCTGATCGATCACTTCGTTCTTGAAGTGAGAGCCGCCATCTGACACTCAAGGTCAACGCAGCCGAACGTGGTAACCCACATCATTAGGCACTGAGCGGTCGCGGTGGCGTCAGCGTACTCTGCCGCGAACAGCTGCACAAACCCCCTCATATCGTCCACAAGTACTTGGTTTTGGCCAGACTTGGCCCTGGGTATCGACAACCAGTCGAAATGGATGAGCTCGTTCGGCTTCTCCGCGTGAAGCGCCGAACCCAATGGATGGGAAACCATGTCTCCGTCGATGCACATGGAGTCAAATGCTCGTACACACAAGAATGAGGGAATCACATGTAGAAATCTGGGGGACACACACGTGTATCAAAACACAAGGGAATTGACCTAGTGTTACAGCAGCGAGCGACGACAGAGTATCCACCCACAAAATTGCGCGCACCGCAGAGCAGCGGTGGTCGTGTGTATAATTTTGTGCAGGCGGTGCCTTGGCGAGGAGTGAGCCCCAATCGTGCACTTCACCGAATGTCCAATCAATTCCTCTCGTCGGGAAAGCGGCAGGTAGGCCGCATGCCGTTCCGCTCCCAGACGAGGCCTGTGGATGACCAAATTACCTTATATAGTATTTGTAACGTTACAGTTTCATATGATTCCCCATTTCCTACCTGTGATTCCCTAATTCTTGTGTGCAGAGTTTCTGTACTCATGCACACGCTGTTAGATAAGTTGCGAAATATTTAGGTATTAACTATTCTCATCTATCTAGATTGATATTTGCGAGCCGGGGAATATGTTTTGGCGTTGTTCTTCGATCCAACTTCGACAACTAACCACTCTTGGCGCTTAGTCGACCTGTAAGCGAAAACATGTCATTGCCGCCCTAGGATTGACCCTAGGAACCTAGTATCCATGCCATCCGATGCTACAACGCTATTCATCATGATCCAATGCTATTATTCAATGACATGTACTCGTCAATGCGCTTCAAGATGCTCTACGCGGCCCATGTCGTACCAGTTTCGCCACACGACCTTGACATAGATCCATTATCCAGCGCACCTGCTGCTTATCGATTCGACTTGAACCCTTCGAAGCCAGGCCCGAAAACAAGACTGTCAAAACGATCGAATGGGATGCGCAATTAGCATAATGGTCAGCATTATATATGTTTATATATGTTGTTAATACATACACATACATCTAGATTATCTATATACATATATATATATATATATAATCTTTTACAGCACTGAATGTAATCTGTACACTCATCTGAGCACTCAGTATTTCTAGATAATCTAGAGCTTCTTTTACATTCACTAAGCACAACTAAGTCAATTGCTTCGCCATTCTTCCACACTTCGCCGCCGCCTCCTTTATTGCTTTTCCCCCGCTAGATTAGAAGGAGAAATCCTCACTGGAACTACCAACGCGGCTCCAGAAGATGTCTCTGTTCCCGTCTCGGATGGTGCCAACTTCACTGGAAACTGGCGTCGCTTCAACTTGACAGGGAGGTTGAAATGGCTGCCCTCGTCGACCAAGGTGATGCGCGGTACGATGACTCGCTTGTTGTCAAATTCGCCGCCCACGATAGTTGCCTCGATATACTTGGATGACACTTTGACGACCCGCAATCTTGTCCCGTTGCATAGGCCAATTCTTGTGTCGGCATGTCATCAGTCGAGTCGATCTCCATAGTAAATTCATCGTCGTTTACTGCGGAAGCTTGATCTTCGTGCTGTGCTTCGGCCGCAAAACGTCGTCGCAGCTCGCCCAAAATGACGACTGGGTCACCACTCAAGTTACGGACAGTAAAAATTTGTAACATTACTGAGTCAATAGGAAGTGACCTTCCTGGTACAAACGCATGGTGAGAGCATCGTCGACTTCTTTTGCTTCTTCGTCTGAATAAAGGGGCTAGACGGGGTTGAGACGACGTTACGGTTCTGGGCATCTGGAGCTCCCCCGCGGCGTTGACGAGGCAGCCCCAGAGTTGACGAATGTTGCGGTGTTCTGAGATGTGGCGATGCTTGGCCTTCATGTGGTTTGGAAAGCTGAGTACAACGTGATAAAGCCATATCCCGGTACCACTTTTCATTTTACAATGACCTCGAAGGACAAGATCATTGCAAAACGAAAGTTTTGGCGGCTCTGGATAGTTGTACTACTCTACTGATATATGCAAGGAGTATGTGCATCCGGTCGATTATCCGTTTTTCTAATTTGCCCCAGAACAGGTATGTTTCGGCCCTTCTGTGGGGTAATTGGTCGATATGCAATATTGCGCAACATATTGCTAGTACTACTGTGCGTTACAAACCATATCACGTGCTTTTTCTATTATCACATTTTCAACCAATCATATGCAAGATTCATTTCACCAGAAAGCGACCCTGACAGGTATGCAACTCGACCTTGCAATTAGTTAAGATATTTTCAACCGGTCATACTCAAGATCTTTTACCTAAGAAGCGACCCTCTCAGAAATGCAACTCGTTTATTTAAATAACCACTTAGACATACTTAATCTTTGTATCAGACTAGTATCTGTACAGCATATCGACCAATTCCCCCTAGCAGGGGTGCCATACCACAGCGGATGTGTGTGATCGCTCACCAAGGAGTCAGCGGTCACCGTAGCATTGCAGCGACGACCAAGTCGGTGTCCGACAAGTTTGTGTGGGAGTCGCTCTCCACGGATATCGAAGCGTTCGTGCGGACCTGTTTGCACGGCCTGTGCATTGACGGAGAAAGCATTCCCCGTCCATTGGGTTCCGTGCTTCACGCTGACAAGCCATCGAGCTTACAGCACGTCGGTCAGAACCAGGTGAGCTCCATTGATGCTGGCAAGGCGGACCTAGCCCATCTGTGTGATGTGCATCCGATATCCGTCAGCCACAACGACTGATCGCTCGCATACGACGCGGTCATATAGAATGTCGAGGTTCCCTGTGATGTGGCACGATGCGCCAGAATCCACAACCATGAGGTGAGTCGACACCGGTAGTGACGATTGACGAGAAGAAAATTCGCCGATGGCATCTTAGATCCGATAGAGAAGAGGTAGTCCTCGTCATAGACTGGCTCTGATCTCACGGCATTCGCATGGGCGGATGGGGCGGCATGCCGGGGCTCACGTTCTCCACGCCCCCGTCTGCTTTGGCTAACTTGAGTACCACGGTCTGGTCTCCGACAGTCACGAGCCCAGTGTCCCATCGTCCCACAATTGCGGCACTTGTCGTGGCCTCGAGAACGTTGCCCCTCGTTCCCGTTTTTGATGGGTGGCCTTCGATCGCGGTGAACTGCAAGTACAGCGTCGTTCATGTTTCGTCCTCGGACCTTGAGAATACCTTCCTTTTGAAGATACTTGTACTCGGTCATCAATTTGGTCGCGGATATCGGTACAGTGTGGAACTCCGCATTCGAGTCCACGATCATGTGGCTTACCATCCGAATTTCCTTTGGCATACGCGTTAGCAACTTGTTTACCCGAAACGACGGCAACTCGTTCAGTGCCGCACGATCCAATCGGCGCATCAAGTCGCGGAATGCACCGAGGAACTCCTCAAGGGGAACGTTCTTCCAGTCCCAGCTGAGCGTGTGGTACTTTTGCAGCAGTGAGACACGGTCGGCAGCTCCGATCGGTTCATGGATGCCTGTCAAGTTGTCCATGGCAGTCTTGACCAGCAAGGCACCGTCCACGTATTGGTACTGTGACTCGCTCAAGCTCTCCGTGAGTATCCCAAGTGCCCGGAGATTGTCCAACTCGTTGTATTCAAACCCATTTGCCCCTTGGGCAGCGGCGCCGTCCCTGTCCAGGTAGTTCGCCAGTCGCTTTGTTTGAAGTTTGGCGATAAACCACACGCGCAAGGAGGCGAAGTTGTGGGTCATCAAAGTAATGGGCGGCATCTTGATTTCGATTGGTTGACTTCCACCAATCGCAGCACTTCACCAGTAAGTTTGGGCTCCAAAACCTGTTGTCCAGGGTAACTTGATACGTGCACAGGCTGACCTTGGTGTCAAAGCGTTTGGTCGAAGGAGTGCAAATGTGAAAGTGATTAATGTCATTAGACCAGCTAGCTAGCCCATGCCACATCTCGTGATCCTGGTCTGATATCAGTGTCAGAGACGGACAGTGGCTCTATATCTACATTTGTAATGGTGTCGTCGTGATCAACACCAATCTGGCTACGATCACCGCATGTGATCGTACCACGTTTCACGGCCTGAGGCTGTCTTGGTCACTCAACCATAGCTGCCCTCCTGGCTCCGTTAACAGACCCTTGCTGCACGTGGACTGTGGGCTCTTCGTTGGTGTCTGGAATCAAAGCCACGTCCCCTGGCACAGCCGACAGATTTGTCCATCCGACGTCAAAGGAAGTTTACGTCGCGGACTGGCTTGGCGATGCCCGTTAGAAACATGTGACGGACCTACAAGTGGCGCTTCAGAAATGTACCGCAACGTCGAGGACCTATTTTTGTCACACACTAAATAACGAAATACACACAGAAACGACCGAAAAAAACACAAATTTTAACGAAAAACACACACGACCCAATAACACAATACAAATCCCGAATTCCACACAAACTTCGCCGAGCACAACACACAATTCACCGAATTCCACACAAAAAATGCCTAATCTACACCAAAAATCCTGAACAGTTAGGACGGAAATAGAAAACATCTGACCCATCCATTTCCAGCTTGCGGACAAATTGGGATCGATCCCTTGGGAAAAATGTAACGTCAGTGATACAGCAATCATGCTGTCATCATGCTATCATCAATTTGTCATTATGTTAAGTCGCTGCATGTTACTGTGGATTGTCACAATTTTAAAGTAGTACTACTAGTACTACTATTGCTTGTCACAAAGTAAAAAAGATTATTCGCCGAATGAGCTGCTGTGCTGTTACTTCTCCCTGGGACTTGGGTGGTGAGTGCTTCAACTGTTGGACAGTGTGACATTTCATCCACCGGAATTATGGCTTCCCGAAGGTACCCATCCCAGAATGCGAAGTAACGTTGCACAACAGATTATTTACACGATGGTCGCTTTCGCAGTTCTAGCGGTGCTCATTCGATTGTCCCCCATTATTCCCCAAACTAATACCCTGTGCGGGATTTGAACCCTCAACCTTTGGATTGTAACCCCAATGCTCTACCCGTGTGAGCTATACTCTTACTTGATAAATAAGGAATAATTAGTGCTACAGTATCCGATAATTTTTAGGGAAATAGACGCGAGTCATTGGACGAAAGTTCTGACAATATTTGATAAAGATCCAATGATACGAAGGTTCCGTTACATAGAGTGCTGACATTAGCCAAAATTAGAATACGATAAATAAAGAGCTGAAATTTGGCTTAAGTCGAACATGTCAAACCAATAGGAATTAAATGTGATTATCGTGTAGCTTAATTTTAGTGTCCGTAACAGTAATGAACATAGAAACATGTACTGTATTCAAATTAAGGTGTGCAGGAAACTTCCAGTATGTATTTTAGTGTCCACAACAGTGACAAACAGCGAAAATGTATTCAAATCAAAGACTAGACATAGTCTACTTAGTTTCGCAAAGGCAACGCGCTTCCTTCAGCATTTCCCCGACGAATTCGGCTCACCAGATTCTGTGCACCACGCTCCATGCCAGGCAACACTATGCCAGTCTGGGCATGGTGTTGCCTGGCATGGAGCGTGGCGCATGTACTGTTGTCAAAGTCCTGTTGCAGTCAGTTTACAACAGTGAATGAGTCCATGGTGATGTTGGGGCAGAATGAAATGTGATTAAATCTTATGAGTAGGTCTCGTGTAATGCAGAATCGTGTCAAGACATGCAGTTAGTGTGGCATTTAGAACGCAACTTCCAATTCACACAGCCATACTGTATTTGTCAACCTTTATTCTTTTATAGGTTGCCGTCCGTGTTCTTGGAGCACGACGTTTGGGCGAACGACAAGTAGAACAACTTGTCGCCAGCTTCTTCCGTGTACTGCGATGGGAATTTTTTTAAGTACTCGTGGTACGCGCGGAAACTGGTCTTGAGCCCCCCGTTGTCGGCTATGGTTTCACCCAAGAGAGATGGCGTCGACATTGCCCAACACAGCGTCAGTGACGTGACTTCGCTCTTCAAACTTGTCGTACTGGTCGATAAAGCACTGGGTCTTCGTCTCGAACGCAGTTCTGGTGGCATTCGACCACCATGGGTTCAAGTTTCCGTCGCCATCCACATTGCGGCCGTGGTTGTCGAACCCGTGGGTGATTTTGTGTCCAATGCCCACCCCGATGACACCAAAGATCTGGGCAGCGTCAAACTGGGCGTCAAAGATCGGCCTTTGCAAAACGGCGACCGGGAACACGATTAGGTTTTGGTGGGGGCTGTAGTACGCATTCACATCTTGGGGGATCTGGGGAACTTGCGCTTGTCCACAGGTTGAGCGTTCAGCTTCAAGTTTATGTCGATGTTCACTTGAGAGATCTTCCAGCGGTTCACTACCTCCTCGAGTGCAACGTCAGCGTGGGTGTTGCGTCTCAACTTGACGGACCTTTCGAAGTCCGACCGAAAGGCAAATCACAAAGTGAATTCCCTCCAGTGACAAGTAGTCACTGGGGCTTAACCCTAACCTAATCAGACAACTGCTAGATAGCCAACAATCTAACTAGCGAATACAATGTAGGATCGCACATAGGATATCCAACCTAATCGAACACTTGGATACCTTCTTGGGAGGGTATCCAAGTGTTCGATTAGGTTGGATATCATTCGCAACAATTTCCCCAACGATTGCGTCACGCCCAACGCAGTTGCCATCGCCTTGACTTAAGCATCGACCTTGTTGGAGCGCACGTAGTGCTTGAACTCAGTTGGAATGTTTTCCAACAAATTGGCCGCCGGCTCCCACGAGGCTTCAATTTCTTGTAGACCGCGCCAGCGCACGCACACTTCAAACACGGCCAATCGATCGTTGTAGCGGCAGTCGAGGAACTGGTCGACCACGTGACTATCGGCGTTGTGCGCAATGTGGCGCAGCAGTTCTTCCGTCACATCCAATGGGTCGTCGGCGTAAAACTTGAGGCGATTGCTGTGGGCTTCACGGACCGTCCACCCCAGTCACCAAATTTTGGATTTCAAAAATCCAATCAGATGTTGTCTTGACCACTTGAGCTGGTCCACGCCATGTAACGCTCAGCTTGGAGTGTGAAATCGACCACACGTCCACGTAAAGCACAAAATTGGCCACGTCGAACTGGGCTATTTCCACGTCTTTTTTCTTCGATCGTCTTTCATGATTTTTCTGACGCTTGCTTGTCGAAGCGTCCAACACCTTCGCATGCATATTGTCCAAGGCGGTTGCCATCGCCGCCGTGTCATCGTTTCGCCACGACAGCAAGTCGTCCAACTTCGTAACTTTGGCCGCCGAAGGAATAGGAATGGGATCCAAGGGCGACATTGCTCGACTACCCGTCATGGCAATAGTGTCGGACGGACTTTGGTTGAGTACCAACTTCACCACTGGTACAATCAGCCGCCACTGATCTAGCTGCATCAACCACTCGGACAGGAGTGCACGGAACGCCTTGAGGGCCCGTGAGTGCCTGCATGGACCCGTTTTCGAATAGCCGAATCGCGCTATTCAACTTCAACCGCGACCACAATTCCACCACGAACGATGAGTGGGTCACATGGTTCAAGTCGGCGTTTGAGGAAGACCTTCAAGACCTGGACGTTTTGAAGCAACGTCTGCAGCGAGCGATTCGTTTCGATACGAAGATCTTGGACGCATCAGGAGTGTTACTCCATCAAGAAGGCAAGATGGTCGTCGAAGTCGATCAAACCCAAATCGCTGAAGACAGCGGTTCAAAAGCATCTGTAGTTGCAGCGGAACAAGGCGTTGAAGAGCGACGTCTTTCGTTACGTCAACTGGCTGCGAACTTTTGCAGCTGGCCACCAGCTGTACGTTGGACTTGACGACGAGTCTAAACCATACCCGGCAGCGAAGCCGGAATAAGCTCCGCGAGGCGACAAGCCTCAAGCTCCAAGTCGTGAAGGCGGCCGGGATGACGCCGTAAAGAACAATGGCAGAGTTGGTGGAAAGGCCGATGCGATCGTGCCCAAGACCGCCAAGCCACCTGCCAGGAAGGCTGCTTGAAGTGCGGTGACATGAGTCACCGTGACGCTGGCGAAGCCGAAACGCCGTTGGTAGCGCAAGTCAAGCGCTGGAAGGAAGGCATCAAGGTGCTGGCCAACCAGCCGTAGCGACAGAAGACAGAGCGCGGCGTGCTGTTGGAGAATATCGTCCGCGTGGACGATGTGCTCTTGGACTCTGGTTCGGACGTGACCGTTGTCACGCGCGGCGTCATGGATGCATTGGACGCAGCAGGTGTCAAAGATGGGACCGTCTCCTATAGCGTGCCGCGTTTGGCGTACCCGTATGGCAGTGATACCAAGCCAGTTGTGACGACGCGCAGCGTCAAGTTCAACTGCGTGACGCTGGACACGAGATGTGGACTGCTTGTGTTGCGCGGTCTGAAGGCCTGGGTCGACGATGCGTCGACTGCAACCCAACTCATCCTGAGTCACCCAGCCATGGAGTTACTGGTCTTCAGCGTTGAAGACCATGGACGCCGGTAAAGTGTGGGATGAGGCGGTACCCGCTGCTGCATGTTGAGTACAGGCGAATGGTATGGTATACCTAAACAATCGGGATACGTGGGCCTCATCACCAAGAATCGTGCCGAAAAAGGATGTCGGCGATTTGCGCATGACGATCGACAACAGGCCGATCAACGCCTGCACGGAGCCGATGCCTTGGCCAATGCCAAATCTGGACAGCGCGATGGTCTGTCTGGTCGGAACGAAAGTATACTTCACGTTGGACTGGACCAAGGGGTACTGGCAGTTGCCGCTACCTGCGGACAGCCAGATGTACTTCTCGTTCATTTCGCCCTTTGGCGTGTACACCCCGACCCGCGTGCTCAAGGGACAGACGGACACTGTTGCGTACTGCCAGTCGGTTGTCCACCAAATGTTTGATGAACTGCTGTTTCGAGGCCTGTTGGCCTGGCTCGACGACTTGCTGGGATCCGCCAAGACGAGCGGACGAGCTTCTCGACTTGTTGGACCAAGTCCTGACCATCTGTGCCCAGTTCGGATGTAAGTTGAGCCCGAAGAAGTGGTGTGGCAACGTGATTTCAGCGGATGGAATCACCCATTCCCCTAGCCGAATTCAAGGATTCATGGATTTGTCGCCCCGACGACAGTGGCAGACCTCCAGCAGTTTGTGTGTGTAACCAACTGGATGCATGCGAGCATCCGGTCTGGTTACAACCAGCTGGTGGATCCGCTGCGAGGTCTGCTAGACGTAGCCACCAAGGCAGCCGGAAGCTGCAAGAAAACTACGTTAGTGCGTGTTGCACTTCCTGCCGTGGGATGGTCGACCGACCATCTGAAGTGTTTCAACGATGTGAAACACGCGTTGGCGCATGTGGTGCCCTTCTCGCACCCGCGAGAAAACATGACGATCTGCGTCTTCACGGACGCCAGTGACCTGTTTTGGGGTGCGGTTGCCGCACAAGTACCGCCAGCGGACCTGGACTTGCCTCTCGAAGACCTGCGGCACCAGCCGCTTGCGTTCATTAGTGGGTCGTTTTCTGGCGCGAGTGCGCATTGGCCCATTGTCGAGAAGGAGGCCTATGCCGTGGTCGAGTCGTGCAAGAGGCTTGACTTCCAGGTCGTACGTACGCCCGGGTGGTTTCCGTCTGTTTACGGATCACTGCAACCTGGTGTACATTTTCAACCCAAGTGGCTCGAACGCCAACATGGCACCTGCAGGGATGGTTGCTGGTGATGTCGACCTCCCGTACACCATTGAGTGCGTCTCGGGTGACGCCAATGTATGGGGCGACCTCCTGAGCCGATGGGGTTCGGCTCCGACGAATCAACCAGTTTCAAATGTTCGCAAGTTGATCCATGTGGCGTTGCCTCTGCAACAAATTGATTTCGAGTGGCCAACAGCCGCTACGATCAGCGGCATCCAACGTTCAACCATGGAACATGGAAGGGGGAGGGACCCCCCAAACGGCGTGGATTGGACGACAACTCCCATTTTTACGCGGAAGACGGACGAATCTGGATCCCAGACGGTGCTGTTGACACGCAGGCCTCGGAAACCCATAAGGGTAGGGAAAATTATTTCCCCCTTTTCCCCTATATTTAAGGAGGGATGCCTCCTGTCCCTGGAAAATAAGTAGGGTACAAGGACTGAATATTTCCCTATGTAAAAAATAAGGGGCCCATAGAAAAAGTACTTCTTCCAGTTGGGCAAACGTGCTAACGTGATCAACCAGTGATGTGCCGATTTACCACGTGGAAATCTTCAGCAGCTGGGTCAAACTCACACCAAATTAATGGCAAGTTGCAGGCCAAGTATATTTTCCCTGCATAGTATGGGCGCACCACCACCACTTCATAGAGAGGCAAGCAAATTTAGTTTCTCATTTTACAAATTTCCTTCCCGGTGCCATTGCTGGTGCCTGCGACGTAATGTTCGTCACCACCAAGTGCGCATGCGTCCGCTTAGTACCCCAGGCTGTAATCCTTCTCTACAACGGAAGTCTGTAAGGGAGCAGGGCAATGGTTAGCCAGTGAAGATTATTCTTCGAGGTGGGTACGGTGCTTTTGGGAACTTGTGATATCCCCCAAGTATTAATAAATATTATTTTCTCGTCTTGTGTTTACATGAATAAAAATAGCACCAATGTTACCGAACGCAATGACATATGCAAAAATCGTAAATCAAAATATCTTTTACCACCTAAACAACACACTTTACTACTGTAGCAACGGCCGATTTGGATTAGGGTAAACGAACTACTGGATATACCGGAAAGGAACGAACAGTTCTTGTTGCGGTCGGCACTATTTGACCCGTCATAATCCAATTTGCCTAATAAGTCGACTGTTACCCCGAACCAATACGCCGCGTACTACTTTCAAGCCCAACCATGTGGTAATCGCTCCAAGTGCCTCCTTTGTGGACGTGTGCTAGCCCAGGACGCCAACAAAGGGTACAGCAACCTTCTAAGCCACCTCAACACCCGCCACCAGGGCGTCTACCAAGAACAATTTCCTTCCTTGACGAGTACCGATTCCAGTGGTCCGCTCCTCTCCACATATTCATTTCTCTCCGAAGCCGCCAGTGGTCTCTAACTCTTCGTACGTCCATCCCGAGTCGAAGTTGCACCGCTGCCCGTTACTCGCCATAGCGCTGTTACTCGACGAATCCGACCTCAGTGCAGACAGCCACAATGCTTTCCTGAAAACTACGGTTGAGTCATACGGGAAATCGATACTGATTGTGGTGTGTCTCATTGGCGACAAATGCTCGACTATTTCCATAAATATGCTTTCATTTTAAATGTCTTCCCTACTATTCCATACTATTTTTCCGAGGGGTGGCACTGCCATCCTGGCTAGGGGGGAATAGTTCGTTGCACAGCTGTCAGCTTCGAAATGAGTACAAAATTACACGCATTCAGTGGGTTCTTTATTATTCAGACCAGATATTCACGTTTTTAAGCTATTGAGTCTTTTCTTCACAGGTTGCCGATCTGTACCCCCGAAAATGTCAGTAAAATCTGATCGAAATGGATGCAACACACTGTCAATAGAAATTTTTAGCAAATGTGAAATCTTGTTTCCAGTCTATAACTTTATCTAAGAGTGCGGTCAAACCTACTAGACTGCACATTGTCCTTTACCTTGCATGTGGTTTAAAAGATAATTGAATATTACAGTTACAGAATTGGTTTACAAAATCCAAGCGTAAAATTCGAATTCTCAAACATTGATGTGGTCAATCAATAATTGTGTGTTCTACTCAAAATTTCCTCCGGCGATTGGTTGAATGAACCTCCGAACAATCACCGGACCTTGCAAATTTCATGTAAAACTGAGTTATCTTTGTGACTGCAATGCATCAATTAATATTTTTAGCCAATCATATTGCAACCTTCATTCTTTGCAGCCAATCATACTGCTTTTGTCGATTAGTTGGCAATTGCATCAATCCCCCAAAACAGGCAAATTTGGCCAAATTGGCTGAAAAGCACAATACCAGCAAGGTCAAAAACACTCAGCGACCTCATTCTCTAATTTGAACCCAACCATCGAGGTGATCTCAGGTGTGACCCTTCGTGCGCTTGCGAATTGGCATTACTGTACAGATTTCGGGTTATCATGGAGTGCCGTGTCAAATGGGACGCGTTCCCAGTAGCAGGTGGGACCGCCTCAGACTCGCCCACCGGTATTTCTGGGCCGGATATAGCTGAGTGCACTTCGGCCTTTGGTATTCCGAGGAGTCCCTGAACTCATGGTATTCATATGAATGGTTAACCATTGTAATAACGGGTGTACTTGGAGGTAAGGCAACAGTTACAACTAGATTATTCAATACTAACAATCGATTTAGGATCCTCAAGCGCCTTGGTCGCCTAGGAGTCAAGTTTCGTCGTCGCTGTCGACGTCGTCCAGGTCAGCAACGAATTCTTCGAGTCCAGTTTCATCACATTGAAGTAGGGACTCCAGGATATTGGCAGCATCGATTGTGTCGTCGTCCTCCAAGTTCCATCACACGCGTCGAAAGGTGACAATGCTTCTAAAAGGTTGCACTTGCGGAAGCCACTAACGATTGTGGCTTTGGGTAGGTCATCCCAGGCCGTTTTTATCCACTCGCCAAGGTCAAACCGGTCAGGCGGGGTAAGTTAAAACGCTCCGGCTTTGTGTTTTTGATTTCTGAACGCAAATACCCAAGCCAGTGTCGGCGTAGGGTGCACTTTAATGGCTTCATCCAAGCGACGTCGGCAGGTTGACAGTTCCAAGGGAAAGCAGGTGGTATCTTTTCCAACAAGATGTTGAGTTCTTTCGCCAATGCCATGACTTCGTCGGTAAAGTACGTACTAAAATCATCCCATAGCAGCAGGACGGGGACCAATGTGGAAAGTTCTTGACTTACCACATTGAGTAAAATGTGCCCATTCCACCACGCCGTAGGATTACAATATAGTCGCGAAGGCTGCAGCTCGTGGAGCTCCTCGACGTCTTCCCACACGCAACGTCCGAATCCATTCCGTGTGTTCAGATTTTCTTTGACAACTTTGGCAATCTTAGACGCTGCAGTCATGAGGACAAGAAACAGGGGGTACTTGACCCCACTGGAATCGGCCAAGAGCATCGCCGTGATACTGTCCTTCTCGTGGCCAAAAACTTTGATCCCAACGGTTTTGGCTCTTTTTGCGTCGATAGTCTTATTTGGTGTCTACTCATAGTTGACCTCGGTCTGATCGGCGTTGTAGATACATTCAATTCCGTGGTCCCGAACGACGCGACAGATACGATCACAAAACGCAGCAAGCGTAGCCTCGCCTTGTTCCAGGTTGGCTTGCCCGCAGCGGCTTTTTGCGCGTAAAAACCGTCAACGCTTTATGAAAGCTTTGATCCAGAACGTACTCGCTTTGAAGTCGCTTGTCGTAAAGCCCAGGTCGCGGGCAACTTCAAGGGCTCGCGTTTGAAGGAGTAGGTGACTCACAGATATGCTTTCGACACTTCGCAACCAGCTTGTTGAACAGCATTTGCTGCTCGGTGAGCCCAGAGCCACGGGTGCGAGTGTACGCTGCCATGATATGCTGCTGATTAGTGTAGCCACTATCGGACATCAAGTACTCATTGGTCGAGTTCAGCGCGAGGTTGCAATTGTTCCACACACGCTTGTCGTTTGCACATCCAGGCCAACCAAGGTCAAGGTACGTGATCCGCCGTTGGTCATCGCAGACAATCATGCCGGCCATTCCATAGTAACCCTTTCTGGAGTAGTAATCCTCATCATCCTTGGACGGCTTGGCATAAACGGGGAACAATGTTCCGTCGACAAATCCAACGGAGTTAAGGTATATGCGTCTACTGATTTGTCGGTGGTCATCGTGATCTGGCCAGTACACAACACGCTTCTCAAGAGACAATATCGCCACCATGCATCGGATAAAGTACGACTGAACACAGCCCTCGGACACACCAAAGTAGCGAGCAAGGACCCCGACACAACCACCATTTCCAAAACGGCCGAGTTTGGATAGGAAAACAATTAATTGATCCTCCACCGCAGCTTGGAAATTGTTGCTCTTCGATTGAAACACACCATGATGTCGTATCTGCTCCACCAAGAAGTAGAACATGTGCCGCGGCAGGCGAACTTCTTGTTTGAACCGCTTGTCGTCCAACCCATAAATAAAATCGACTGGCGACTTGCGCTTTGGAACATTAGTCTTCTAACCCAGTGACTTAGACTTCAGCCAAAGACTCTGCATAATCCAGGAGAGCAAAGTGCTCTTGGAAGTTATGTCGTTGCAAATCAACAACGAATGTATTAGGCAAGGACTGACGTTCAAGGCATAAAGTCAGCAATGAAGTCATGACTTTGTAAACGCGTGTACACATAATCATTCGCAAATCTGCGTGTGAATTAGGAAATCACTCAGTGTTTTACGAAATGACTATGTCGCTATATAAAATCAAGAATGTCATTTTGGAAATTACTGTGTGATCTCACTCCAGAATTGTAAAATTTGATACCTCTCTGACATAGTACAAAAACAGATTTCACAGTAGAAAAAAGGCGC